CACATGGTTGTTCCGAATCTGAGTGTGATGTGTATATGAATTTATATGTTTGTTAACGAACCCACGACTCAGGAGAAAATTCTATTGTAAAAAATCTGTCTTAGCTCGTTCGTATAGTTTTATGACTCAATACGTATACTGCCTCAAATATTAGGTCACTGAAAAGTTTGACCAATAAAAGCACATTGAAGCGACTATTAAGTACTTTACCATAATTAAAAAATAAATCATCCATTAAAACAGACATTGTTATAGACGATGCACTTGTATATTGAAATAAGATCTTAAGTAAATTGAGAAATATATTACATAGCTGCAATGCACTGACAGATTACTAGAAGCCTGACTTTTTCATAACATCCTGACCCAGAATGACCTAATGTTTGTTTGCATACAACACACGATGCAGGCGATGATTTTTAATTCAATTAAATTCCCCTCACATTACACTGCGGCTTGAAAGCTTAGGTCAGAGGTCTAGACATTTGAATTACATGTTTATGCTTAAAGACTTTATTTTATTAGACATTAGGCACATAATATAAACCCAAAATAGCAAGGTTGGTATGGAACTTATGCTCAAGAAACAGTCATATAAAAATAAATTGTTGTCATAATTGTTTTTCGGCAGACGAGCAGACGGATTACCTAATGGTGAGCAATCGAACGATGCGTTGCCGGCCTTTTTGGGGATGAAGGTGTCGGATATTTAAGGATTGGGAAGAAATGGGTGAAGGGGAGGGATTGGGCCTTCGATAACCCTATTCACATGGCGAGTTGTGATTGTTTCACGCCGGGTTTTTACTTTAGACAGGGATAGGAAATGTGCCTTATTATAGTACAAATAATGAATGAGCTGTTTGCAACGACTTATTACAATATGGTGGTTTTTGATACATTGTAGATTTCTAAAAATGTCAAATGAGCTTCTAATCCTACACATTGATAGTCAAAGTTGAAACCAAATCGAATGCTGTCTTAAAGATAACCTTTTCAGTCTTTATTGAGTAACGAAGACATAAACTTACAATTTTATAGTTTACCTGTCCATTCGTCATTATCTATTATGTGTTAATTCTATAGGCTAGTTCTGTACATACGCTGTAACATTGTATTGTGGTGCGTATACTTAGACCAAAGAAACCTCTGTGAATGCATTTCCATTTCCGTTCGGCAATATAATACAGTTTGATTAGTTCTGCGGTTGTCCTTATACGAAAGGCTTTTCTTTTGTCATTTTCAATAACTGTAAGTAGGTGTATAAACTGTAAGCTTATTATTGTAGATATAATTTTCTAAAAGGACATTGAAGGGATTAAGTTTCTCGTGTTGGAAAAACAATTTGACGGGTTAAAACAAAAGGCTCAGACTTAAGTTTCTTCCTGTGTCGTGAGTGTACTTACATTACAATTATAATTATAATTATATTTTGATATACACATAACACTATGACTCGGAACAACAATATCTGATCCAAACAAGGAGTTGTTCTATACGGATATTGAACCCGCGACATGTTTGTTTTGTAAGCAATTTTATAATAACTAATAATGACAGTACAAAGCTTATAAATGCAAAGTAAATATATATAATATTATAATACACAGGTACATTTCATAAATAATAAGCTACTGGTCTTAACAGAATGCCAAGCACGCGTTAATAAGCAAAACCTCCTTAATTGCTTACTGCTGTTAATCCGATAATTACATCTTATTTACCGCTCGCATGTAATGAAAAAAAATATATAATTAAACCTTTTATATATACATCATTACTTAAATATGTTTTAATTAATACAAACTTGAGTGACCAATGGCAAAGTTTGCGTAACATACAACCTTGGTATGTGGTTTGATATTTAAATATACAAATACTAAATAAAGGCTTCTTCAGTTTGTGGAAATAATATGACATCGCTACGTACGTATATAGAGTTGTTGAGTAAATAAAGCAGAGGCGTTGATTTTTAATTATTTAAATTAGATTTGTTTTTTATTTAAAATTAATTTTGTATGCTACTGATACAAAAATTTATTGTGCGTCTTGTCTCTCCAATAGTGTTTCTATGTCATAGGTATATGTAGTTGACGAGCTAACATATTGATGGAAAACAACATACACCTCCTGAACACCCGCAACAACCTCCGGGCCTTGGATTGGGTCTCTGGTAACTTCACTCAAACCTCACTGTAGTTGTTTCACGCAAGTTTTCTTTGAAGCCGTGTGGTATCGCTTCGATCAAGCCGACCCAATTTTGCCGAAGCATGGCTATCAAAGTATAAACTTAAAATGTGCTGCTGGAGGCTACTTTTTGTGCTAGTTGCATTTTTCATTTTCTGTAAACTTTGATTAAATTAACATACAGTTACTCGTACCGCCAGAATAAAAATTTGAGGTTTACCCCAAGAGTTGTTTCGTACGGGAATCGCACCAGCGTCGTGTGGCTAGTTGCCTATTAAGAATACTATACTATTTCTTGCAAGGGTTATTAAAGCATGTTATTTACCACTACTTGGATATAACTTTATTAATGCCTGCTAACGACATTAAAAAAAATTACATGAATGTAAAACGTGTTATCATTTGTCTTGAAATTACAATTCTGCAATACTAGCCACTTCAAAGCACATTTTTCCCTAATTTCAAATTAATTTTATTTAAAAAATATGGTTTTTTTTTTAAATCATATTTTTTTAATAATTAATATTTTGTTTTCAACATATCTGAACATTATTCAACAATATAGTATGTGATAAATAATAGTCTCTTTTAAAATTTAGAAAACAAAGGTGTCATGGTACGAGTATGTGACCATGGTTAATATGGATCGGATGTGTCACAAAATGACTAAGAATGTTACTTTGACATATTTAAATATGGTGTAATGGCGATTATAACAGTTTTTGGACGGAAGCCAAGGTAAAGACGATTGTCTTATTTAATGATGTCACTTAATGATAGTTGCAGGACAATGCACTCATAATAATAATAAGGCTACATATAGAAGACGAACAAGAAAAAATACAAAAAAGAATTTAAAAGAATCTTTGATAAAATTAAACATTGAAAATAATAGGCTAGTTTTTTGTTTATCTAAAATAGTAAAGATGGCTCCCACACCATTTGCCATTTTGGAAATCAAATTATCATGTGGGATTTGAACGCTATAAAAATTCTTCTGACATCTGTTCTTAATCTGACATGTAGATCTGTGTTTGTTTTTATATTTGTTATGTCGATAACATTTTGAAGTTACGTCTGACTTTATAGAATTGTACTGTAAGTTACGTATTGGGTCAAAGGTTACCACATAATTCATGACACGTATCGATTTGAGAATCGCGTGTTGCATTTTAGTTTGTAAGTCTGTTTGTTTGATTATTTGTTTACCTCTAAGATTTTTTGGTACTGCTGTTTCGTTTTTATAAGGAGTGCTAAAAATCATAAACATTTCAAGAATGTGGGTGTGTCAAAAGTCATTTGTTTTCCTGTCTTGTTCTCCGATAAATAGAAGTTTACACTAAAACTACACTTTAAATAATTATTTTAATATGAAAATCGATTCGATTGATTAATTTGTTTAAAGAAATAGTTTTATAGACAAATTATTAAAAGCCGCCTCTTCAAAGTCACGGCTGACGGAACTTGTAACTAGTTAGTAATCCATAAAATGACCATAGGTATATATTTCATCTAAAAGTTGGTATTAAAATGAATATTTTACGTAGTGTTTTGTTTTTGTTGTTCAAATGCCATTGTAATCTTTGTACATTCTTTATCTAATATTACTTCTACACGTGTCTTTAAATATATATAATACAAAATATATTGTTTTAAGTATATCTAAAATAACAATTTTATGAGAGAAATTTGAATAAGCTACAAAACGCAAAATTCTGATGTCTGACCGCTTTGGTACTAAAATATAGAATTACATAAAATATGTGAATAAATCGTGGCCTTAATGAAGTGATGTTCTATTTATATTTAATGAAAAACGTTATAAATTTAAATATTCCAGTTAACACTGGCCGAATCACTCGTTCGGCAGATGTGACCTTTGCGCAGCGGCCTTCTATGTTGCGTAACTTTGTCCTCCGGCGCAAGCGCATCTTCGTAGCTTCACAATTTTAGTTGTAACAAAGTCGCACCCTAATTATTGGTTACAGTAATTATTCAATTATCTGTGATTTAGTGAACTTGTTGGTTTTGGTGTCACGTTTTGATGTAATTGCCTATGGTTAGTTTTCGTGGAGATATTGTTAAGTATTGTTATTATTTTTACGTAAGATCTTTTGTTCAATGTTTACTTATTACTTTCTTGGCTTTTTTTATTCTTACTCACTTGATGTGTGCGATCTTCAATTTTTTGTCGCAGTTAAGTATTCGATTCGATATTTAAAAATGAGTAAGTTGATTTACAAATACTTTCACGAAGCAATAAATCAACACTCACAACTCAATTTTATTATTTGCCAAAATTATGACATAGATCAGGAATGCACTATGGTTATGACATTTGACATAAAATGCGAAATATTAATATTAATCTAGTAAACGAGAATTAGGGAAAAACGTTTCGAAAGTGTCACAGTTTCGAACTCATCAATATTACAAAATCGAAAAATTTCGCAAATGTATCAAAATAATCGATTGACATTGAAAATATTATAATACGTAACTAGGAAACATCTGTGTATTCAAATGTATGTTAAATCTTACAACTGCGAAAAATCTTTTGTTATTTTTTTGTTGCATTCGAAGTTTTTAAGCATCTAATGCTATAAATATATTTATTTTATTTCAAATTATACAAATTTAATTTATAATTTTATTAAAATTTACAAATTCTTAAAAATGTACATTATTTTTGTGACTATTGTAATATTTAAAATAATAAAGTAAAGCTTTTATTCCATTTTTGAATTTTTTTAATCGTTTGAAAAAAATAAAATTTTCCGTCTCAGTTGACATAAAAGAAAAATCACAGAACTCACCATTTTTCCTTCGGTTGACTAGCACATACACTGCATATTAAAATTGATCTACAGATCACACTGCACCAAACGCGTCTCACTTTGCGCGTGCGCGAATACGTTTGAGCTTCGCTCGTCTCGATCGTATATATTATACACCGCCTACCAACTTATATATAAGGCTGAAAGTTTGGCTGGCATTGATGTACTGAACATTTTCAAGCCTTTATTTGAACTCATGGTTTGTGGTCAAATTAAGGTCAACCCTTAAATTCTTTTGTGGTCTAGGAGTAGGAGGGGGGAGGGATTTGATCCATCAATGTATTGGTAATAAGAACTAGTTTTTTGACGTGAATCTTTCCTACACGTAAAGTTCCTGGTGTACGTTTAATGGTAAAATAAATCGTGGGATTTCCTAACCGCATCCGCGTTATTCAAGTATCCTTATTGATAAGAGATTTTGATGATCAGTTTCAGGAATATATTAAAAATGATTTTGTGTGATGTAATAATGATGTCGGGTATAGCCCATATTAAACTAGTTTCCCAGAAAATATATTTTTATGGACAAGTGAATTCTATATAATTCTTACTAAGAAACGATGTGAATAAGAACGAAGAATCTTTTTGTATAATATAATTATAACAATCGGGACACTATAGTCTCCGTTATACGACAGAGACACTGAATTTTCTGATTAAAGGATATTCAATTTCATTAAATAACCTCAAGTATCCATTATTCAACCAACAGCTGAATCGAAAATTGGGTCACCATAATAAAATGGTTTACTGTTGAAGATTTCTCTCACCAGAAGGATTTTTCTAATAGTACTCAAATTACCCTAAACCAAAAATAAAAAAGGCTAAATTTAGTGTCGCTTAGAACACGGTAGAAGTCGACCGAGTCGAGTTAAAAGACATTGGGAAGTGTGAAATGCATTTTATGATAAATATTGCGACCTTAGAGTTTATAAAATTCCTTGCATTGAAGGAAATGTTAGGACTGTGCAATTCTGTAATCACCCGCAATTACTTTATGACGTCATATTATCATAAATAGACACATTTCTCAATTTATTACTATTTAGAATGTGCAATTCTTGACCTGATAGCGGCTAAATTAAAACATGTCTAATAAAAAGATGTTTATTTTAAAATTGTATTTCAACCACATTCAGTTTTCAGTGCTTTTACTTAGGCACTATATGGCCAGTTCAATGCTATCCACTAATGCTTTTTTCGTAATATTTAATCAAATACATAAAAATGTTCATTAAATTCTAGCCTTATAGTAAATAAATTAAAGCGTGCTCTAGGATTTTCTCCTTTGCGTTTACTTACAACAATTTGTGGATCACATAAACAGTTGTTCCGTATGGGAATTGAACTCGCAACACGCTGCCCAGTCACAGCTTGCACTGTGCTGTCATCATTTTACTGAATGTGAAGATTTTAATTTAATTTCTGGATCGTATGAAAACCTATAAAGGCCGTCATAAAATTTTTCTTTTTGCCCTGGACTAAACTTAGAGAAGAATAAGTTCGATTAAGCAGTCAAAAGCCGTAGTGTATTATCAATTTGCAGTGCAGTGCAGTAATATTTCTTACCAGTTTAATTGACATGCTTAATTTTTATTATTGTACTAAATTTATTTCAATTGTAATGTTCTAATAATATTTCTTATGTTCCTAATATATTTTTATGATCATTACGGCAAAACATAGCGAACCATCATTATGTAAGACCTTACTATGTAAACTACCTATGTTTAACAAATAAATGATTCTGATTCTGTAAAAATGTCAATAGTGTACTTTGTTGAACTACAATTGATTTAAACAAATTCAGTACCTTTCATCCCTTCTGAGTAAAGTATTTTCGGAAAGTGAAAGATTTTTATTCAAAATTGAATTATATTTACATAATAGCTTGAGCTATATTAAGATATTTTCGTCTCAGTAGGTACTCATTATCTGAATTAATAAAAAGGTCAGAGGGAGGTAGCAATCTCCTTGCATCCGCGATCAGCTGATAAGCTATGCGGAAATATAGTCATTGTTTTACAACACTATCGTTTATGAATATTATTATAGGCTTGCCTGATTGAGACCCAGAAGTGCTGAAGATAAGGATCGTTCAATATTTACCTTTCTTTTAACTTTACCCTTTATTGCTGGTTCTTAATTCAAAAATGAGGTGGTTAGTAAATGCATTTTTACCATAAACTGGCGGAACCGAAACGGGCATCCAACTATTTTCCTCGTTGCGTCGGGGGTCGAGAGACGATCTTTGGCCACCGTAAGCGCGGGTCGTAAGGGTATCAAGGGCAAGGGCAGACGGCGAGTAAGGGTATCTTGCCACCCAACCAGACCCTGACCCGAGCGTATGGCGCATAGCATTCCGCGCTTAGTTAATGTTCAGCCGGGGTTGCGGGGCAAGCGCAATAAGGCACCGCGGCCTCGGCCCAGAGCAGTAAAAGGAACGGAAGGATTTTTAGCCAGTAAGAGTCCCACAACCCGGCAGAATATCAATAGTAGTTTTTTTGGGAAAAATTATACAACGACACTGTCGATTTTAACTAAACAGTGGAAAGCAAGAACTCTCTCCATTCTTTTCAAATAATAATGAGAGCAGTTATACGTACATTATATGTTCAATGAACAAACGTTTCTGCCTACCCTTTTATTGCTTGCTATTTAACTTTACTGACGTAAATGACTCAAACGTTGTATACACGGTGAAATATCACATCAAGCTATTTTAACCAGTTTATTATGATCTCACTTACTATATTTTCAGGCCACATTCAAGGGTCAGCTTATACTGGTGTTTAGCTGTGTAGTACTACATGATTTTCAATGGCACCGGTTACAAGTATTGCGTACTATTCGAGTTTTCACTATCTTTGTTTGCTTTGGCTTTTCTTTGTTACGTAACACTACATAATATTAAGCCTTATCTTAGAGTGAGGTAAGGAGATGTTTAAACCTAATACTACTCTATTGGTAAACAAAATGGGGAAATAGCTCTGAGTCAGCCACAATATTTACCCTACAAAAAAGCTAATTCGGATAATGACAAACACTGAACAGACAGACAGTTGTAAACCACACTTCATAGAACATAAGATACTCACCTTAACTTGCTTATACATTTTCGAAATATGCAAATTTGTACGAAAACATCCAGACAACTATACTACTCGCCAAGATATCCAAACAAACTTCACCTTAAGATACAAAAATAGATTGAATTTACCTACATCTCGATTAAAAATACACTCAACTGGCCCCCTCACTATGTCAGTAAAAATATACAACAAGTTACCTAAATCCCTAATAAACGAACCTAAAACCAATGTGTTTTTACACAAATTAAGACGACTCCTGGAAACAAAATGTTATTACACAGTAAAAGAATTCTTTGACGATAAACTCACTTAACAAAATAAAACAGTACATGTCGTAACTATATGCATTACTTATAAAATCTATCTCTGTCGAAATAAATGTAAAACTTTAATTTTAATTTCAACTAACACAACAATAAATAATTAATAATATAGAATAAACATATAAGTAAGAAGTATATACTTATTAAATGATAAATTCACTAAATAAACTATAATAATAATAAAAAAAGAAACAAATGTTAAAAATACATGTATAACTAACTTTTGCCCGCGACTCCGTTCGCGTGGAATGGTGTCTTCCTGCAGACATTTACTTTCGCATTTAATTTATAATATAAGTATAGATAGTATAGATTAGTATAGATAGAATAAGCTATATAAACCTACTTAACATTGTAAACATATATGTACAAATACTAGTCCTCCTCATAAAAAATAAATAAATAAATAAATGTTGTTATGCCCGACAGGGCCCACAATGCTCTTAAACTAATATATGTAAATTCTTATGTACCCTACCACCTAAGTTCACATTGTGGAATGCAATAAATATATTGAATTGAATTGAATTGAATTGAAAATATATTAAGTTGTTCCGTTAGTAAATATCATTAGCCTATAAATGCTAACTGCTGTACCTCTTCTCGTACGAAGAATGTATAAGCAATATGACCATAATAATAATCAGTGAACTTGCTCAAGGCAAATTGGTGATTTAAACTTATAATCAAAAATTATAACTCTAGGTTTTCTCACGATCAAGAGACGATCTCCCGCCACCGTAAGCGCGAGTCTCCGGACGGCGTATAAGGGTTGCTCGCCGCCCGACCAGATCCAGACTCGAGCGTACGGCGCGTAGAGTTCCGCGCGCGCCTCAAAGAGCCAATAGACCACCACAGACGGGGCCCTATAGGGCTGATGTTCAGCCGGAGTTGCGGGTTAAGTGCAATGAGTCACTGCGGCCTCGGCCCAGAGCAGGTGAAGGAACGGGGGGGCTTTAAGTCAGAGTCTGACACTCTCTCTTAACCTGGGCGGGAGAGGTCATTTGATGATTTTCCCCGTACAAAAAAAAAGATTTCCTCACGATGTTTTCCTTCACTGTAGTACTTCATATCGTCATACTACACGAAAACGCACCCTCTTACACTAAAATCTCCTCTCGCTTCAGCACAAATTGACAGGTTCGTCCGGAGTGTCCGGACTGTATCACTCCGACTTCACAGAAAACCTGCGTGGAAGAACCACATCGTTGTGTTTCACCGTGTGAGTAAGGTTACTGAAGGCCCAAGATCCAAAATTGTCTAAATCAATATTGGTGTTTTGGATTTCGAAAGCTCATGTAAATTGTCCAAAAAACAATTTAACGTCAAGAAGTTTTTAGCATGCCTGCTTCTTATCTCAGACCCTAACAATCGATCGTTTCTAATAAAAATGTTAACGTGTCAGCGAGGTTATAGGTCGTGTATAAAGGTGTATACTCACTGCATTGTAACAAAGATTCTGGTGTCCTTACTCGCACTCTCAGTTCGCTCGACTATGAACTTGATTCTCAATACCTTATGCCATCTCTTAGGTAACGAGATTTGGAAAGCGTTTCATAAAAATAAAAATAACTCACCTTTGATTAAATGTTTTCCTTATGTATAAAAATCAATTTGAAAATATAAATATTTTTAATTATGTTGAATATTTTATTGGGTAACTAGTATCGCAGCGGTGCAACGCAATATTTATTCTCCCCACTATTAAAAGGATGTTATTATACATACATATAAA